CACGTGTTTCGGCGGGGTTGCAGCCCATGACACGCTGAAATCTGGACTCAGCGTTTCTGCAGCCGGCAGGCCGGTTTCTGTAGTTACGCGGCTCCCGGGGAGGGGGCCGCCGACGGAGCCCACCGCACACCCCGCACGCCCGGGGCAACTGAAACCTCCGGGTGCAGGAGAACTCGCGACCCTGCTCCCACGGCCCGCGCGCGAAGCCCGCGCCGAGGCAGCCTCCCCAAACTCTTACTTTTGTTTATTGTTTGTCAGCCTTTGGGGTCCGGCCGCGGGAGGGACGCGGACCGGCGTCCGGGGCCGGGCCGGGACAGCGCCCCTCGGACGCGGGCGGGCGGCGGCGAGCCGACCCCCGGGCTCGGCGGAGCGGGGCTGCGTGGACGCGCGTCCCCCAGCGCCGGCCGGGTGGAGCCTGCGTCCTCGACGCTCGTCGCCTGCTCGCTTTCCCGAGTGAAAGTTTCGCTGTCGGGACGAGCCCACGCTGCGCAGGGCGGCGAGCGGCGGAGGCCGCGGGCCGCGGGGCCGGGGAGCGCCGGGCGGAGTTGGGCTCCGGGCCGCGAGCCCGAGCAGCAACCCGGGCCGGACGCGGCTCCCCCCGCCGCCGCCCGCCGCCGCCCGCCGCCGCCGCCGCGCGACTCGGGCAGCTCCGCGCGCAGGACGGGGGCAACTTTTCTCCGACTCTACTCGGAGCGTGGGTCTCTCTCGCCCTCCGCCCCTCCTTCCCGTGCCCTCCCTTTCCATCCCTCTCTTGTCTGCACCACCCCTAGGCAAAATATTGCTATTTCACGGCTCCAAATCTGGTCCCTTTTGAATATATTATTTATTTTCTTTGACTAAAAGGCATGAAGTCAAAGTGCTTTTGCGCTAAAAAAATTTTTCAAAAAAAGTGTGAGCTTTCATACTGCTTTGGTACATTGCAATCTGACTATTAATCACCTACATGAAGTTGTATGCTTCATATAAAATGTTTATTTACCACTCCCTTAAAAAACCTGCCACCACTTATTGCTTTCATTTAGCAGGAGGTAACGGTTTAGCCGGAATACTTTATGGGTGGTTAAAAAGTATCAATAATTTTTTTTCTTTCCTTCCTAGATTCTGGTTTTATTTCTCACATGACAGCCTTTCTTACTGCAATATCTAACAGGAATAATACTGGCTATTTGATCTCAGAAGACTCTTAAATGCATCTTTTATGTTGAAATGGTCTGTTTGGGATTTAGGCCTAGCATTAGTAATGGATAGCAGTTGCTTTTAGTTATTGTAAAAGTTTTTTATTTTTCCCTAACAAACTTCCAAAGTTCCTATTTTAGTAACTTGTGGAAGTATGGAATGAAACTTTTCCAACCACTTCTGGCAAGGTTCACAATTGCATATGGATAAGATGCAAAGTGTAAGAGAATTTGAATGAGTTATGACTACAGTTGAAATGCTGAGATTCAAAGGCTGAAGTTCTTTCTGGCAAAAGTTTGCAGCACAGAGAACTTGTAGACAATACCAGGGTGCTGCAATAGTGGGGCATGACCTTAGCAGACACAAGAGTGTCTTCAAGGGAGCTCTCGAAAGATGAATTTATATTTTGGGTTGGTGCATGTATGAGGATACCTGTGTATCCATGCAGGCCCAGGGCATAGTCAGGTACTTGACAAAGCTGGATTCTCTTGGCTCAGGAGCTATTATCACATTAAGAAAGTTTTGTTGTTTTTTTTTTTAAACATATTTGGCAGTGTGATTGATACACCTCTAGGCCTTCTTCTTCTGGACACACCAGTAAAAAGAAACAGTGTAACAGTTTGTGAAGAAATTGTACACTAAATAATGAGAGCCATATATTTTGAGTTCTTCCTTTAAAAACTGATTTACAATTTTATTTAACTTGCTGGAATACTTATAAAGCTTTAGAGCTAGTTTTAGAAAGAAAAACTTAGGTAGCTTATTGGTCATTAAAGAAAGTCCAGTAAGCACAGTAATAGAAATACTCTAAATGAAAGAATAAACTCCATCTACATGTGTGCAATTTTTAAAACTTTATCAAGAAAATGCCAGACATCTTCTTTCCGTCCATACAAGCGTATCATAACCAAATCATTTACCTGGCCATAGAATGATAACCCAGTAGAAATTTATAGGTGAACCTTTGAAAGTAGTTCCAGCAATATCAGCGTTCAGTGGTTCTTAAACTTGGCTTACTTACAAACAGATCAACATTTAAGAAGCTAATTCAAAGTCATACCGCTTTTGAAACAGGTTTTCAGGTTTGTTTTCATTGGTGGCCTATAACTTTCACACTGAGTACACATGTAAAATAGTCTTTATTATCTCCTGAATATTTTGAAATATTACATAGCTTATGGCAGTATGTGCAGCAACATGATTTATAGAGGCTTACTATTTTTTTAGAATTAATTTATGCTGGGCCTTGACATTTCCTACAAGTTAATGATATTCTTTACTTTTGATGATCTGGAGTATTTCTAATTGTGAGTTGAGAAAGATGACTAGCTCTTTAATAGTACATGTGAGTAAAGTTATACAAAATATTGTGCACTTTTATTGGCACATTCTTGAAACCTTTGGGGAGTAATAAGTTGTAAATACTTCTGATGCAAAATTGGGGACTTAGATTATTCTTAATGATTAGTTGACATAGTTGGCCTCATTTGAGGGTTTTTATGATGAGATATATAGGCATTTGGTTGGCAGGTAAACAAAATCCTCTTGAACACGAATGAACGCAGTTCGCAGTTCTGTGAGAGGCATACTAGGAGTCTCTTCAAATACTAAATGCCCTGTTAGAATGTTTTTTAAAAAATGTTTATTCATATCAATGGAGCTTTTGAATAAGGTAACATTTTAACATAAATGTGAATTGTTTAGAACTTAGTTGTTCTTCACCTTATAAAATGGGCCTGAGATTTTAAAACGAAATCTTCTTTTTGGTGAAAACTCACTTTGGAGTTAAGGTAGACTACAGGAGTTCTTAATACTACAGAGCCTTGGTCCCTAGCATGTCCTGTGTATATAAGAAAATCAGTCAATTGAAGGACTGTTTCAAACCCCAATTTTATGTATTTTAGAGCATTTCAAGGATGAGCTCAGAATTTAGTAACGTTTAAATGCTTTGCGGTTTGGCGTATACCTTATTAGATAAACTGTGACTTGAAAAAGCCCCCCCTCCCACCACCACCATTTCTCTTTTAAAGTATGGCAATAAGAAAGATTCTTAAACATCAGAAATTTAAAATGTTTATGGTAAAGAATAATATAATTCTTATATTTTTTTCTGTTCCCTCTCCACTTGAAGAATGCACACATGTTACAAAAACTGACTTCTCTTTTGGATTTTTATTGAAAAAGAGCAGTTTTCAAAGCTAAATTTGAAATGCGGAGCCTAAAATTTGTTCAGAGAGAAAAAAGATAAATGTCAATTGTTGAAGTGATTTATTATGTATTACATTAATATGTACTTTAAAAAATAGTCATATGTAGTGTTTAGATGATCACAATTTATAATATTTTAACAGACTTGATAAAATATTTTTCCAATTTTAACCACTCAGTTAACATTTGAAAATTTAATAATTTCTTTACAGTAATAATATTTTGGATATTGCAGTTACTTGTGCCTCCAAAGTATACATTTAGGTGGATATTACAAACCGAAAAAGAATGCATTTTGTAATATTTGTCTGTCCTACACCCTTTTTAAAAAAAAAAGTCATCAAGCATCCTTTTGGTTTTCTTATCCTCATTTATTTGAAAGTAAATAATTTATCTTTTGGGGTTTTGTGCGGCAGAGAGAAGTTATGTAAGATTAGTGTGGGTTGGTTAATCAAAAGTTAGATGTACTCAGAAAGCTTTGTGGAGGTTACTGTTTAATTTTTCTTTGATTTTATATTTATATTTCCTAAGAAAGTATCAAGTAAAAGAATCAAACATTTTCATAAGACACTAAGAAAAATGTAAATGTTTTAAATTGAATTTTATTTTCAAATTACTTGAATCTTAAGAGGTAACCGTGAGGGTTTTCCTGGAGTCTCGTAAACATTAAATGTACCAGGTTCTCTCTTTCCTTGTGAGAAAAAGCCTGAAATATTAATTTCAAAAATTAAATATTCTCTTTTTTAAGGATGATTATTACCGAAGGCATTTCACAAAATTAACTGTATTTAGTTGCAACCCTCTTGTACCAATGACGCATTCTATTTACTATCTGGCATGTATGCTTTTCTTTGTTTTTTTTTCCCCTTTTTTCTTTTTGTTTCATTCCCACAGTATCAGCAAGTATGTCTTGGAAGTAGATCTTTTATTTCAGCCTGAAGAATATCAAATTCATCTTTTGCATATGCCAGATTTTTCTAAGTTTTTGACTAAAAAAAATTATATGCAACTGTAATCCTGAAGAAGGAATTAAGATGTTACCAAAATGCCTAAGACACAGATTAGCGTCTCCATGCAGTATTTTTAGAGGGAAAGTCTTTGTTTTCATTGATCGTGGAGATGATTTTTTGCTCCTAGACTTCCATAAACATTGACTGGCATCTCGATGTTTAGGATTTGCCAATCTGGCGGCCGAGCCCTGGGTGCACTACAAGTAGTGAGGTCAAGGCTGCAGCAGAATTAGATGTGCCTTTCTTGAAGTAGGGTTAAGATCATATATTGTTGGAAGCATTTCAATACATTTCACTTACTGTCTAAAGGACTTGGGACCTAAGCTCGGCAGTAGATCCTGGTGCACTTTGGTGAACATACCAACACATTTAAAAATTTTTAGCCATTTTCTTCTTTGAGACTGAGACATGATACTGACAGTTTTCTTTTTTCCCCCCTTCAGACTTCCCATAGGCATCCTCTGTGTAGTTTGGGTACTGTAATGCTTGAGTCAACTTGCAAGGGAAATAAGCATTGTTTTTTATTTTTTAAGTGACCATCTGAAGAAAAGTTGTTTCCTTTTGTTTTCTTGATAGTTATAGTTTTGTTGTCGTTCATTTCTCCAGGATGAATTTCATCCTTTCATTGAAGCACTTCTGCCCCACGTCCGAGCCTTTGCCTACACATGGTTCAACCTGCAGGCCCGAAAACGAAAATACTTCAAAAAACATGAAAAGCGTATGTCAAAAGAAGAAGAGAGAGCCGTGAAGGATGAGTTGCTAAGCGAAAAACCAGAGGTCAAGCAGAAGTGGGCATCTCGACTTCTGGCCAAGTTAAGGAAAGATATCCGACCTGAGTACCGAGAGGATTTTGTTCTTACAGTTACTGGGAAAAAGCCTCCATGTTGTGTTCTTTCCAACCCAGACCAGAAAGGCAAGATGCGAAGAATTGACTGCCTTCGCCAGGCAGATAAAGTCTGGAGGTTGGACCTTGTTATGGTGATTTTATTTAAAGGTATTCCGCTCGAAAGTACTGATGGCGAGCGCCTTGTAAAGTCCCCACAGTGCTCGAATCCAGGGCTCTGTGTGCAGCCCCATCACATAGGGGTTTCTGTTAAGGAACTCGATTTATATTTGGCATACTTTGTGCATGCAGCAGGTAAGTGCGATGGTGAGAAGTGGTTCCACTTTCTCGTGTGTTTCTTTTCTGATGACCTCTGTATGTGCGGGGCCATTCCTGAATCCTCTTAAGTTGCAGGCCACAGTGCAGAGAGACAGTGTGCTTTCAAAGGTAAACCCGAGTCAGAACAGCCAGAAGCTGCCCGTGTCCGAGGGCACACCTTCATTTGGGTGGAAAAGCGTAGCTTTGAGAGGACTCTCACCAAGTTCAGTTCTTTTGGCAAGTAGTGTTATCAGAGGTGTTGGTAGTTCTGTGATATGTTTAGATCACAGTTTTTGATGATGGGTGAGAGCTGTAATAAAGGGGATATTGTAAATGGCAAGTGATCTCGTTTAAAAAGCATGGAGTTTGGTGGTGAGGCAGTATTTTTAGTTGCTTATCTTCTGGGCGTGTTTTTAACCTACTGGGGCCTCTCGAACCTCCTGCTAATTAAGAAGAGGTGGTAAGAGTACTACCAAATTGCTGATCATTTATGAAGGAAAAAGAATCACATGAATACGCAAACTTAGTAGCTTTGTATTTAGGAATTTGTCCTGTTGTCTAGGATAGCTGAGCGAGAAACAAACCAACTCTTTAAGTAATTGATGGTAAGGTTAATCTTAAAAGTAACCAACCTGTGTGGTGCATGAATGCACCGAGAAATCGATATTGATCATTGATTTAGTGAGTTGCTTTGATTGGTGATAAGATTCATTATTGTTTCAAGGCTGTTTTCGAGGCATGTTTTACCTGTGTATATTATAGCATTCAGAGTTAGCATTCAGGCTAAAACTATTGAGCACTGACTAAAAGAATGCATTTTTACTTTGTTTCTTTTGCCTTGTTTTAGACAAAAGGTTCATTGTGTTATGGGAAAGCTCAGGTCTTGTGTAACTTGTTGACTTTTTATATGTACATATCGGCCTTGCTAGATTTTACCTTCATGGCAGTTACTTGAGCCAGATGGAAGAAAAGAAGGTTGTGGAATCCTACCAGTAGGCTGTTTTGGGGTTCATATGTTTATGTATTTTTTTCACAAAGGAGAAAGGTGTTACCTGTAAAATCAACCCTGTACTGTTTTGCAAAATGTTTTTAATTCTAAGAATGTGAGCTCTTTTAAAAAAAGAAGTCAGCTGATAGCCTGTTCTCTATTATTTTTCTCAATATATGTTTTAGAAAGAGAACTTTTGTTATCCATCTGTCCTTACATAAGAAACTGGAGAAATTAACTTTGCAAGCATGTCACATTATCATTTGCATTCTGTTGGCAGGGGATAGATGAGTATTTTAGAGGATGTGATCTGTAAGTGTTTCAAATATTTGGGTTTTGGAGAATGTATACTTAATTGTAAGGAGTTCCTGTTGCTTTAGCCTGTTCTGTGTAGTGAAATGAAAAGGCAGCACCTCTCAAATGACCTCTAGACAGGAACAAGTATCCCTTTCTTAATCCCCTTTTCACCCTATTGTTACTTTGTTTTCTCTATTGAAAAAGCAGTGTTAAATTTTTGAAAAATTTATTTGCGTATGTAAGTGGAGGTTCTGATAGGGAAAGGCAAGGTGCAAAAAAAAAAAAAATAAGGATGGGTGTTATCAGTGCTTTCAGGGAGGACTCTTTAAGATCTTGTGTTTAATCTTTTCAGTATTTCGAAAAGTAAATAATTTATCAGTTCTAACAAATGCTCTAATTGGACCAAGAGAGAAAAATGTGGGTGCCAACAGGTGGTACACATCCTGGTGTGTGCTTCCTTACAAGGTACCTCGACGGGGAATACCGGTTCCGTTTTTGTCGGTTGTGAGCAGCACCCGTTCTGAGTTTTTGGTAAAAATATTGCCCTTCGAGTTAAAGAGCTGCAGCCTTCCGAGCTAAGGCCATCACGTGTCTTCTCTTTCGTCGCTGACCGTCTGTCCCTTGCTGTTGCTTCAGATCGTGGAGCTAACACGGGGTTGCTGGTGTTTTCAGTACCCGCAGGATTGTGTTGGGTTGAACGACAGGTAGAAGGTTGCTCCGGAGAGCTGGCATCCTTATTGCTTGTGAAAGAGTTACTGACGGCAACGTGGATCAGACTGCCTTTCGGTTTGGTTTTCCTGACGTATCCCAGAATGCCTCGGAAGGCCGCTGGCGTTCACAGACTGCCGCAATGGCCGCTGTGTGCTGTGCTCGCGACGGGCCGGTTGCAAAAGCAAATAGTAAGGGCCTTTTGTCCGAGAATACTTCAAATTTGATTTCAGAGATCTAGAGACCTGTTATTTGTGGAAGGGAAGCTAGTTGCCAATACAAATATGAGGTAGATTGGTCAACTTAAATACAACTGATTTGACAAGCATCTGTTATAATACCGAAGATTTGTAAACACTAAACAATGTTTTTACCTCCTTAAAAGTTTTGAGAACTTGCCAGTATTGGCAGGAGGCAGAGACTCTGAAACGTGCTTCAAGAAACATGCCAAAACCATTGTGGCCTCTTCACCTATCGTGGATTTCCCCCCCGCCCCTTTTACAGTGTTGTATTTTTTTTTCCCCTCCAAAATGCCGTTTTTCCTTCTAGATAGCCCCCCAAATGAGATTTTTTATTTCCCCTTCTAAAAATGTGTACAATAATTACTGCTTCGTGCCTCGGCCTTTTCCTTGCTAGGAGGTTGAAATCTTAGGACACACATGTAAATACTGGAAGCTAGTGCAGAATCAGTCGTTTTTTAAAAGTGCAGGTGATTTATTCTGACTTATTGAGATGCTAAAATACAATACCTAAACTACATTCAAATTTTTCCCCCCTCTAAATCCAGTGGCATTAGAACGGTGTGTATTTTGTGGCTGATAAACAGTAACAAGTGTAATGAAATTGGAGTGATTCCATAAGCCTGAGAATTTTGTCTCGTTAAAAGTATAAAAGAGTAAAACCATTTTATGCCCTTAATTTTGTCTTTATTTGAGTCATCCTTCCATAGGTATCGTATGACAACTTGAAGATATTATGGAATTGTGGCAAATGGTTTTCTTTGTGGGCGTGTAACAGTAAAGCTAATTTATGACCAGTCTTTACCAGATGATCTGTATCAGAATCTACAATATACCCGGCACGTGGCAAGGTCACAATTTAAGTTGTTAAGGTCATAACCTTAGCCACCAGGCATTTGACCTTTTAGATAAAGTTAACCTTTGTTCATTAGTAGGCACTCAACCGAGAACTTTCTGGAGAGTTTTTTTTTTTTTTTAACTGCGTCTGTATAACTTCTGGTAATGTAATCAGATTCTAGAAAGATTCTCAGTTTAGTTAAATTTTGTAAGAGGTTAGACTTAAAAAGAGGTTAGACTTTTTAAGGACTCATCTCTTGGATAGAGGTAAGTTGCTGTATCTACACCACAGAATCACAGAGTCACAATTTATTTTTGATAGTTATTACCTGCTGTGAGGTGGAATGAAACTCTGAGGCAGCTGTGTGGAGACATTGAGAAAGTAAAATTAAATAAATAGAATTAAATTTAAATCAACTAAGTAAAGCCTTTGTTAATTTTCCAGCGGCGTCAGGTCCAAAAGTTAAATTGCCATGAGCATCTTCACTTTTTGCAGATGAGGAATTTTCTAAGATTGGAAGTTTTTTTAGTGGCCTTAAAATTTGCTTTGAAAGACTAATAAATGACCAAAATTTGTCAGGTAATGACTGTCATTGTTAATTAGCCTAGTGGCAGAGTGAATTGAATTTGTCCTAATGGTAGCATGAGGAGTGTTAGTTGTAAGGTAGAGAGGGATCATTTTTGCACAGTAATGTTTTAGTACAGTAGCTACTGGTTGCTTCCATGCTACCCCTGTTACCACCTTTCCTTAGTTTTGTTGGACCAGGAATAGTAATGGTCCTGCCACTCACTGGAAGAACTGTTTGCAGTGCTTTGGAAGTCTCGTACCTGTTCCGGAAACATGTACAGCCAGTGTTACTGATTACCACATTACTTGAACCATATTGTTCATTTAATTATGCTGTTGTGAATGCTCATTTTCAATTATTTACATCCTGCTAGTTTTGCTCTGATCTGCCACGTATTATTCCATTTCAGCAAAGAGAGAGATACTCCCATTCAGGTGAATTTTAGTTTTATTTTGGCTTCGTGATTGCCATTCCTTCATATAGTAATAGAGAAAGCCGTGATATGCAGATAGACCAGATGGTCATGTTGACAGATTGAGAATTCACTTCCTACTGCTTCAGAGCAGGTGTAAGATTAGGAGTGTCTGTGTATGAGCGTGTGTGTGCTTCGTGTGCATGTGTGTGCACATTCAGGCTGCACACAGAGGGCTGTTGAGAGCAGTGCAAATGATTTGTTTTTTAAAAAAGCTGGTACTTTAAAATACAGTATAACTATATGCATAAGGTTATCAGTGCATACAGAATAGTTATTGTAAAAAATATTAAATGAAAATGTTAAATTGTGATAGCTCACAATTTTATGCTGAATGAGTTATGGTAATTTCTTAATTTTGGGGTAACTTACCATGTTAGTTTACGGCAATATTGCATATCTAAAATATGTTCAAGATATTTTGTTAGCAGGCATACATGTGTATGTGTATTTATGCTCAAGTTTAAGGCTATACATTATGTAATTAAACTTTTTCAGTATCTTAATAAACTCTTTAATAGAAAGTTATGCAATTAGTTCCTGTGATTTATAATAATAAGCCGTATTTAGAAAAAGAAGTTGTAAGACTAACGTACAGTGATGTTTAAAATTAAAAGAGTAAGTGCCACCCTATCAAATTCTTACTCCAACCTTAAACTGAACTCAGGGTGGATTTTGTGGCTGACTGATCCATTCTAAATCATTGGTGTATGCACAGTTCTAAAAAATTTCATTTATCTTTTTATTTATCTTTTGATTCTTCAAAGGAAATAGCATTAACAGTCAACAAACTTGAGATAAATATGGCTTTTGTATCCTTGACGGTTTTTGGCTAACTTGAGGGTAGTAACAATGTCCTTTATCTAGAATGTGGTAACAGTATCCTT